GTAGGCTGTGGCAGCCTGCGTAGGAGCAATTTTGAATGCTGGTGGCGGCAAAATCGCCTCACTTTATTTTTTCTTTTGTGTTCTGTGGCGATTATAACGGCACTATACACTCAGCCGTGTCAACCTTAACTGCCTAATATATTTGACCACACCAGAGGATAGCCGAACTGCATGGGTATTGCCCCCTCACTATATGAAATTCAACGAGTCTCATAAATCGAACAACATATATTGTACGCGTACCCCACGGTGCCGCGTTATCCGGACATGATTTGAGAAAGGTCTCAAATAACACAGCATATCCAAAATACAGTGTCGACGACAGTCACTTCACGACGATCGCACGGAATCCGGCTTGTCTTGGGGTACGTTTTGAAGAGTGATGTTTTTTATACACAGCACTAGTGCGAATGAACGAACGTGTCTATTTAGTTCCCATTCCCCGGACCCTATCAGCTACTTCTCGCCAAGACCGGGAACATATCCGGGAAGGCTTTTCGGAGATTATCTCAACGGAAATAATCCTCGAAGAACGTCGAACGGCCTGCGTCGCGGGCTGCTTGACGTTCGCTTTCTTCGCCCGTTCTCTTCGCTCGTTTCTTGCGAAGGTCCAGAAGGCTATAAGTCCTGGTATTCCCAAGTTCTCACAGTGGAAGATTACAAAAACACGCAAGCATCCTGAACAGGCAAATAGAGTAAACACTTAGAAGGAAAGCCGGCAAACTCCGAACACACGATGCAGGTGGGGAGTCGCGCTGATCGGGTTTCCACAGCTCAGGCGGGTGGCAGAAATTTTTGGCTAATAGGGGTCACTCGAGTCGCAAAATGGCGGCGGCCAGCGAGCTGTTTCTGCAAAGGTCTATACTGTCTCCGTGATAAAAGATAAGAGGAAAACCATATAATAACTTTAAAAAAGAAAGATATGTACTTGTCTGTGTTTCTGACCTCTTTGGGTTTATTCTTTTTGTGTTTGTAAGTCTCTATAAACAAGCTCCCTAAATTTTAATTCAAGTTGTGTGAGCTTCATGTCCTGACTCAGTACGTCCGCCCGTCACCCTGTGTTCAATCCCCGCAACTTCTTTCAAGCCGTCAGCTACATCTCAATAATTAACTTTCTGCGGCTCCGTCTACGCTCCCTGGGGCTTTGCTTGCGAAAAAACGTGGCCCACGCCTCCGTGGACTTTGTGCTGGGATTCCACTCCCATACTTGGTTGTCAAGCTACAGGATCATGCAGATTTCAAGAATAGAGATATCCCAGGAACTTCGACTCATGAGAATGACTCTCCCCGGCCACGACAGCACTCCTCGATACGTTTTACGCCACAGACCCTCGTTCCTCTTCCTCAGGAGTTCTGCAGTCGGGCTCTTGGAGGCCGCAGGGGTAAAATCCTGGGGAGGTACGCAAGTCTTGCCAGAAGGCTTCGGACTTCAACTGAAACCCCCTGTTGTACTTTTGGACAAACAGCTTTCCCCGGAGGGACTTCTGTCTCACGGGCCCAAGTTCGCCCTAGACCTTCCAGCATCGAGGGTAGACCAACTGATATCCGTTTACAAGGTAGCAGCAAGTAACCCTGAAAAGGATCGTCAGAACTTCGTAGGGACAGCTGTGCATTCCGTTTGTGCCCACCTGCCTCCTCCAGGCAAGTCATATGTATACTCAACAGTAGAGGAGCTCCGCAACGCCCAGCTAAAGCTGCTAGAGTAAGAAAAGATGGTAGTTTTTGTTGTTATGAACGAGGACATCTAAGAGGAAAAGGTGGAAGCTGCACTCGAAAAAAGAACTGCTTTACTCAAGGAAAGACCTTCAGGGTCTTTAAGGTCTGAGGCTAGGGAGATATGCTCTCAACTGAACCTCCCCGCTCTGAGAAAGAAATGCGTTAGCTTTGCCCGCACATCAGTTCATAAGAGTGCCTTTTTTTTCTGCAAAGACCCATGCAGAAAACGCCCCGCTCCGCGGCATTGTTTCGGAGAACGGGTGCTGGCAGAAGAATGGTCTCCAACGGCCAACTCTGCCAGCAACACCAGCGGTCGAACCAACGAGAGCCCCTGGGAGACAGACGGTCTCCAACACAACCATGGCAAATCGTCACCAATGACTTCTTCCATCTCCACAGTGTCACCTACCTACTTGTAGTGGACTACTTTAGCAAGTACATTGTGATAGAGCAAAAGGGGGACACCTCTGCTATCAAAGGATCGCAACCCTAAAAAAGGAGTTTGCTTGATTCGGCATTCTAGAAGGGGTCTGTGACAACGGCCTGCCATTCAACTCTGAAGCATTCAAAGGGTATCTCAAGTGCTTGGACATGACAAATAATCCAAGTTCTCCTGATTACCCACAGTCGAATGAACTTGCAGAGAGGTCAGTTCAAAGAATGAAAACAGCTTGACCAAGGCACCGAAGGAAGGCAACGACCTGTCTCTTGTTCTTATGGAGCTTAGGGACACACCGATGGATCAGCTCCTGTCCCCATTGGAACTGCTAATGGGCCGCAGGATCACAACCCTCAAGCCAGCTGCTCCGCGTTAACTTGAGCAGCACTACAACATCAGGGAGGTTCAAGCACGCCTTCAGTTCCATCAAAAGTGTCAACACCGACATGGTGACGCACACAGCAAACCACTACGTCCTCTGAGTCAAGGCGAGAGAGTCTATTTCCGTCGAAACCACAAATGGGAACCCGGAATTGTGGTCCAAGTCGGACAACAGCCACGATCATACCTAATCAGAGCTGAAGACGGGGGAGGGGAGGGGGGGGGGGGCATTACAGAAGAAATCGATTCCACATCTGACCATTCGCTTGAAACAACAACGCGATCCCTGAGGACTACTACCAACTCACGTTCAACGACCAACCTCACCAATGTCCTGCCCAGTAGTCCCGCATACCCGAAACCACTCGATCAAGCCATCAAGTTGTTCAGCCAGCAAGGTATCGCCGAGTCTGTGGACTCTGAACTCTTAAAATTCGCATAAACTTTCTTTTTGCAAAATAAAAGGGAAAAAAGGATCTGTTATGTATTTAGAAAAGTATGGTTGGTGGTGCCCACTTCGCAGTTTCTCACAAATCGGCGTTGATACCCACACGTGCGACTCAGCTAGCCTTACAAAACAGCTATGTTTTGTAAGGCTACCACAAAACAGCTATGTGCCTGGCGTCGTTCCCGTTCTCGTAATAAAGTTTGTCAACCAAAAACATTTCAGTATGAACAACGTTATCCACAAACACGGCACGTGTCAGTTCCTGGATCTCCTGGATGTTTACCTCCACTCAACCTCAGTGGAGTACGAGGGCAATGTTTATATAAAGAGAGCGGAGGTGTGCATCGGGTCATGCTTTGCAACAGTTCTGAGTAAGGTATGTATTTACTCGCACAATGAACGCACTCGCGTAATGAACGCACCCCCCAAGTCGGCTTCCAAAATTTCGACTTTTTTTTTCACTTGCATATTAAACCCACCCTCAACTGGGAAGTCAAAACTTTGACCCCCTCCCCTTTCCCCACACGCGCGAAATGAACGCACTTTTCTAACCTGGTGCAGCGAGGTCGCAAATGCATGGGTAGCGTGGCCGAACAAAACGCCTTGCAAAAGGCCTTAAAAATAAAAAAAGACCCATTGGAATCATTTATCGAAACTACAGTACGAAAACCAGTGTCTCCCACTTAGACTTGGTTCTTTCTAATTTAACTTCTCTTGAATCACGTCGGACAGTCGCTCGCCTTACTCTTTTTCATAACTTTTATTACAACATGCAATCATTTATGCTCACTCAGTGTAAGTCTGTCTCATACATTTCTTTGCGTCATGATAATTCCTTGAAAATTGCACCTATATTTGGTCGCACTAATAGATACAAATACTCTCCTCTTGCTCTGTCCATTAAAAATGGGAATTCTCTCCCAAACGACATAGTCACTGAATAGAATGATAAAAAATATTCCGCAAAACATTTTTGGCTTTGGTACTATGTTTTCAGCGCCATGTCTGCTTGTGTTTCCTATAAATTGTGCACTGAGTCCCCAGTTCTGTTGTGCCCGGTTTCTGTAAACTTTGTTCTGAATTCTGTATAGTTTGTTTTGCGTTTTTGTTTGTTGTTAATTTTTAACCTTAGTTAGTTCTTTTATTTCCATTATATCATTGCATTTGTTTGTATTTTTCTACCCCCCTCATGTAATACGTTTGAACGAACGTATTTGAGGCGAATAAAACTTGAAATTGAACTTGATTCGAGTCCATTGAGCTGCGAAGGCGAATACATCGGCCATCGGAAGATGCCTAAATGCTCGCTTTAGGGAACACTATTTAGATGTTACCAAGGCATCATCGGACTCGTTCCACCCAATAGTTCTGCATGCCCGTAGCTGCCACGATTGCACCCCAAACTTTGAAAACACCACTTAGCTAAGTTCACACATAGATAAATGTGGGCCCGAAACAATAGAAGCGTTTAAGGTCAGATATGCTGTGAGCAATGTCTCTGGGACATCTTTGGCTTTGTCGTCAAAAAAGCTGGAATTTCTAGCGTAAAAATTATCGTAAAAAGCTTGTTGTGATCAATTAATTTTGTCTTTTCCTTTCTTTTCTCCCCTTTTCAGGGGTTAATTTCCTGATTATAATGCAGTTAATGTAAAGGTACAAGCGAGCTGGACAAGAACCTAGCTGTGTTTGGAGATTTGTGTTTGTCCTTTGTCCCTCTTGTTCCCATTTTCCAGGATTATTTTCGTCATTAATTTCCTTTCTTTTTTTTTCTTCCTTTCCCCCTTTTTCACGAAATTTCCTTAAGTTTTTCCCTATAATTTTTTTGCTATCATTTTAATTTGGTATTTTTAAAGTTTGTGAGTAAATTGGTTTTATATTAAATTTTGAATATTTTCGTTTTCTTTCAATTCTTTGTCGTTCAAGGTCGTAGCGTAATGGGCATCTCATAAATGTTCGCTGCTCATTGAAAGAACTGTGTGTGTCTGTGTTTGTCCTTTACGTGTTTTATTCTTTCAGTGCATTCTGTCAGTTCCTCAAGGCTCTTCTCACATCATGTGGTGACATTTGCGTCCAGTGTTATATAGCCCTGTCACATGGAAGAGGTGGAGGAGACCAGCTTACTAAAGAGTATATCAGCATCACTGGTATTTCCTTTCTCGTTGGAAATGACTTCTGCCCCTTTTGTTTAATGGGAGTCCTTTGCATGTTCTTTGCTTACTTTTCAAACGGTTCAAAAGTGTGATATGGGGTAGGCAGTTATGCTACAATGGTGCATGCCCAGTATATCACGGTAGCTTAAACAAGAGACTTTGGAAGTGAACATCAGGAGAATCTCCTGTTTCATTCTTTCTAATCCAGGGTGCCAATTTCGAAACATATTGTACAATCTTTAAATAACTTTTAGCACAAGGAAGGAAAAAGGAGAGGAGGCATTATGTCAGTTCGCTATGCAATTCTAGAGATTTTACAACAGTACAGTACAGGACACCAAGCCGGTTGGAACCAGATCATTACATCTGTCAGTGTGGCTTCTAGGTACTTTAACTAGCTTATTAGTTCGCAAAAGAGCTCAATGAATTGTGGAGGCTAAGCCTCGTAAGACTTCTGCAGACTGACTGCACTGAGCAATAAAACGAAGAATTCAGCTGGATTGTGTAACGTAGAAAGATAAACCGGGAAAAGAGCATGGGCAAAACTGGGGAGCTAAACCACGCAAGGCATTTCGTGCTATGTCTCGTCTAAACTATTTTCTTTGTTGCTGCACTTTCTGTCATCTTTAGCAGGCAGTATGCACTGATTTCACTTACATATTGGGTGGATTCGACCATAAAGCTAGACGTTTGTATTAGAAAACCAAGCGTATGTTTTATCGGAGTAATGGCACATAGAATTTGCACTCTTTTTAAGAGGGATAATTTATCTAAGCCAATTGTTTCATACTAAATTGCCAAAGATTCTGCCCCAGTTTTCAAAAACAGACTGGCAAATGCTTTCATTTATTTAGTAAATTTGATCTGTTTATTTACAGGAAACACTGCCTCTATTGCTGTCATCAACAGCCAGCTGGCTGAAATCAAGCCACCACACAGCTCCACGAGACTCCCAAGGGCACTGAGCACACGCCTATTCTGGAAGGCTTCTGAATGGCGCCACTGGCTGCTGTACCACTCGCTTCCCTGCATGTACAGGGTCCTTCTGGACCAATACTGGCCGTACATAAAGAAGCTGGTGGAGGCCGTCCATGCACTTTTGAGGGACACCGTAACTCCAGCATCCATTGATGTTGCACGCGAGTTCTCCCCCTTCGGTTTCTTTGTGTCCTGCTTCGGGCCAGCTTTAATAATGTCATATTGTGCTTTCAGAGAAACTCCTCTGGACCTTTGTGGGCATGACAGGGAGGCTGTATGGAGCTCCAGCAATGACGTTCAGCCTGCACCAGTTACTCCACCTAGCGGAAGCAGTGCAGCAACTGGGGCCATTGTGGGGCCATTCTGCTTTTGAATTTGAAAGCGGTAACGGGCAGCTTGTGAAGCTGGTGAAAGGATCAAATGCTCTTCCGGAAAGGGTAGTGAAGTATCAGCAGTTGGGATCAAACTTTGGTGTCCTCGCTTCTAAGTGACAGCGTCAAAGTGATGTGCTGTGATATTCTGGGATACACTAAACACCAAAACTTCAAGTATGCAAACGAAGTGTGCCTGCTCGGTTCCTCTTCGAAGGCATCCTTGAGCAAAGAGGAACAGAGTTGTCTTTCCGCTGGATTTGGGGCCGCCTTTGATCAGGCTACAGAGTACAAGCACTTCGCATGGAAAGGGCAGATTTGTCACAGCCGAAACTATGCCAGGAGTAAAAAGACAGACTCCTAGGTCATTCAAATAAAGGATATGTGCGATTTCACCATTTTGAGAGTGTTGCCTTTGAAAGGTGAGGTAACACTTCTGTGCAGGGAAGTTGTCATCACTTGTGCAGGTGCTTTCCCGCAGCACATCAGGCTTTGTTTTCTTTCTCACGTGAACTTGCAGGCTGTTAAACCACAGCAGCTGAAGGCACCATGCCTTTTTCTCACTTTCAGGAAGCCCTCAGCATGCTATGTCTGTGATCTGTCAAACCTTCTTGAGCGCGATTGATGTAATGTAACCAGGTGTGCCGAAGTAAAGTGACTGTTCCCTAGGAGTTGAAATATCCAAAACTACATCCTGTGATAATTTGTCCCTGTTTTGCCTTTGTGTCAACAAGGGAAATCTATCGAGATTGTGCCTTTCACATCTTCAGACTTCTTGTTTTGCTCCTAAGGTGTTCCTTCAGGTAACTCTACATTCATAAGTGATTTTCTTTGTTTACAATTTGTTATACTTCGTGTGCTTGATTTGCTCTTCTGAGACTAGTCGGGCTAATTTGATTATCGACCTGTGGAAGATGGCTATTGTTTGAGTAAATCAATTCCATGTCTCAGCCTCCTAATGTGTCTTTCCCTAACCTTTCTGACAAAAATGTGTGAAGCTTCTAGGGGTAGCAGTAGGGTAGGCTTGTTTTTAACTGCAAGCAGGCAAATGAGAAAATCACTCTTTTGTTATTATAATGCAAGTTGAAAAGACTGAAATAGACTTAGACCTTTCGTTATTCTGTCTACATTGCATCATAATTGAATAGCTTCAAAAACCTTCTGTATTCGTGGACCACAAAATAGGCTTTTGTTAATAGCATTTCACATATGATTTGATTGATTTTGTTTTCATACTTCTGTGTTATTTTGACTAGTTAATTGTTTTAGTAACTATAGGTTATGTATGAGGGTTATAAGTTCTTGGCTCTCTTAATTACTGTACTGTCATTCGATGATTTGTCTCTTAACACCTACAAGTACTTGTGAAAATCTTAAACTGGCACACGTAAAACTGAACAGCAAGATAGTTACTGATGCTTGTTTAGTGAGCTTTCAAACACAAATATTAAATAGAGCGTGCACATTAGAATGTATAGCAATGTATTTCTGGGGTGGAGTTGCCCTTTGAGGTTATTACTTGAAGTAAGCATTTGTGCAAGTTGGTTTAAATTTATGTAGTGTCTAATGGCCTTTCGGTGTCTTGGGGGTTCTAGTAATATTTTTTTTCTGAGATCAATCATAGTATAGAAATAAATGTAGAGCGGATGCAGAGGATGCTAACTGCTGTTAACGAATTCCAATAAGGTAGAAATGTTTGGCGACTTCATTATAAAAAACAATTACTTTTTTTTTATTTCAATGCTTCTAAAAATGCCTTCTGCACTTGATGGGCCAGCTGCATTCTTCAAGTTGGCATGAATCTGCCTAGAACGTGCCTTTTTTAGCTCGTCTTAGCAAGACATAATAGCAGTAGGTGATGCCACTAAAAAACCTGTGTCGACATTTAGCTAAGACAGCTCTATATCAATTTCACTATCCACTAGCTGGACTGAGCATTTTCAATTCTTAGCATACTGTAAGTTTTGGTTGGCAGGAATTCCATTTGTTCTATATTATTTCCAGTTTCCACAAACTCGTATATATGCTTTACAGAATAGGCAACTCTGCCACCAAATGTAATACCTATAACTTAAATTTCCATAGCTGTTTGCACTTTGTTGGGCCAGCCTAACAACTAAAAAAATATAAACGACATACATATCCGAGATTTTTTGTTTCGCGAAATGTTTTACCTGGATGCCTGAGGGTTTTTCAGCGAATTTCTGCTAAGTGGGTCTTTTACAATACATTCAGGTTTCTAGGAACCACATTTTGTTTTCAATATTCATTTCAGTTTGCACAAACTGGCTTTGGGGATAAGTTAACAGAACAGATCCCTGAATGGAGGTTCCAAGTATAGAGCCAGATACCTAGGTGGTTTTAAAAAAACCCAGTATGTGACCACTATAGTTTCACCTCCTGGATTTGTTTTCCCACAATATGTATCACATGGCGTAACTGGATATCAATTTTCAGGTGATGGTTCCACTAACTTCATTCTGGAACTGAAAACTTCCAGAGCAGAATTCAGATTCTTCATTCTGGAACTGAAAACTTCCAGAGCAGAATTCAGATTCTTCATTCTGGAACTGACTTTTCCAGAACCAAATCCAAATTCTCCAATTAGGAACTGACGTTTCCAGAACCGAATCCAGATTCTCCAATCTGGAACCGACATTTCCAGAATTGAATCAAGATTCTCCATTCTGGATTTCGGCTTTCCAATTAGCTTCCAGAAAAAAATCAAACTGGGTTCTCAGGTAGGGAAGTATTGTTACGTGTACACTCCAGTATGTGCCTGCGAAACTTTGTAACATATATTTATATTTCAGCTTGCTTTTGAAAGGGAACTTAGGTTTGAAACCGACATTGAAGAAGACGAAAGATGCCTCAAGAAGGTTCTCCTAGAAACAGCAGAGTTGGCCACCTTCCTTTGCTGTCCCCCAGCCCTTAACACTGTCTGCAACACCAACGAACCACGGAGTCGTCACAATCTTCTGCTTTCGCACCCACACCATCTGACAATGATGCACCATGCGTGAAGGGGATCATTTTTTCAAAGGAAGAACTGTGAACAGCCGTGTCTAAGATCAAGCCATCACAATGCCCTTGTCCAGATGGTGTGGCACCTGCCTTTTATAGGATGATAACGCAGTACAGTTTGATCCCTCCCTCAGCTGTCTACTTCAAAGTATTTTCGATGAGGGAGCTGTTCCTACCACCTGGCAACACGCCTTACTCACCCCTATTCACGAAAGGAAAGAGAAGCCTACAAGTGACGTCAAGCATTAGCGTCCAACCTCAATAACATTAATCATCTACCGCACATTAGGATGCATACTGAACAGTCAGTTCCTCGATTTTTAGAGAGCACTGGATACTTATTGCAGACACAGCACAGTTTTAGGCACGCCCGCAGCTGTGGGACGGTCCTGGCGACCCCGTGTCATTTTGTAAGCAACAATCTTGGCAGTCGCAAAAAGAAAGATTTTCTACGGCTTCATCTCAGTTACGCGTTCGATGCCCTCAACATCGATCTCCTGCTACATAAAATGTCAGGCGCCAGCGTTCATGGCTTCCTTCTCAAGTGGCTGCCAAACTAACTGAAGGGAAAAATCCCACAATTTGTTTACCAAGGTGTGCACTGAGCTACGATGAACGTCCCCTCCAGTGTGCCACAGTACCGGTTTCTTGTCAATGACATGCCTCAGGATGATAGATTTTCTTTCGTTCAGTACGCAGACCACACCTCGATGCTGGCTCCACTTACTGACACCTGCCTCCTTCTCCAGGACTACATCAAAGACATAAAGTGCCGGGTGACTAACTGCTAGCGGCTGCACACCACGAAAAGTGCCGTGATGCGCTTTAGCAGGCCCCACAGGGTGGGCAAATCGAGCTATCATTTGCTCAGTGAGCCCCTACCATGTATGACTCTTTGTCAAGCTTAGAAATTACATTCACACAAACATTAGATTTCACAGTGCACATAGGAAGTGTTGTACCAAAGGCTCGGCGAACCATGGGGGTTGTTTCTTGTATCTCCAGGTCATGGGGACCTTCGCCATAATCTCCGGTCATAAGGTGCATAAGACAGATTTCCAGAAAGATAAGGGAGGAGCCCCAAAAGACCAGTTCGACCACTTCGAAGTTTCCAAAACTTGCTTTTACGCAAAATGGTCCAACCAGCACCACAAAACCCTCTGCCATGGCCACTGATGCTTGTGTCATCGCCAAGTTTCAAATTGAGGGAATACAAAGCATTTGTACATGACTTATTTTTCGTGGGCTCCATTTTTCGCGAATTCGACTGAAGCTGAATAGCTGGAATAATTAATTGGTACTCATTTTTTGCAATCCGCAAGGACCTCACTACAGCTTTCTGTATGTTCACATTTTAGCCAAATAGTTTGTGAGACCTATTTTTTGCAAAATGTAGACGATTCGTGAAAATTAGGTCTTCGTGAAAATTAATTTGTTTCCAGTATACAGTGGTACTAGTTTACTTAATTTCTCGTGACGGGCATGAAGGGGGCCAGATGGAAGGCGGATCATTATAATAAGGGTGACAAAGTTTATGCCACAATAGGCTGGGACACATCACAACAGATATAGTAGTCGGTAAGTCAGAGTCATATAGGATCACAAGGACACTCATTGTTATCTCTGTCTCTTGTGCTCCGAAGGAAAGAGCTAGATTTTCGTCACTCAATACTGCAAGCTTAGTGGCAGTGCAGCAGCCGCCCGTTGCCCCGCCCGCCGCCTGCCTCCCCCTCCTCCCCCCCCCCCCTCCGCCGGGGGGGTCACGTTTCAGCTGCAAGACCGCAACTTTATGATAATGCTAAAAGCTCTGCTAGTTATTATTCGTTGTATATGATGAGTGCAAAAACAGCATAAGAGGTATATAAGGTAAAATTGTACAAAATCAGAATAGGAAGACCAGGATAAGACGGAGCGCTCTGTCCTATTCTTGCCCTGCCTTGTGGGTGAAAACGATTCAATGCAGTGGGAAAAATGAAATATTACTGCTAAAGTCAGACGTCATGTAACATCTGCTTTGTTCACACTTCATTTTGATTTCTTTTGTCTAATTTCCACGACTTACAGATCCCAATCTTTAGGTTTGAGGCTTATGCTAATTGGATTCGAATAGGTTTGGTGATCAGTTCGAAGTGCAGTTTTTTAGCTGTCTCTCATCAATGATGCTTATATTAACAGTGCCTGAACGAGGGCAGGCTGCTACAGTCGCTGCTGCTGCAGTCACTGCTGTTCCAGTCAGTGAGCCGCATCTGTTTGAAGTCACTGATGGCAAGGTAAATTAGGAACTTTTTTTCACAAGATTAGCAATTCTAATGTTGCGATGGCAATAGTGTAGATCAACAGAAAAAAATATGAAAGACGTTTACAATTCTCTGTAATGTAAAATTAGAGAGCAGCTCTTGAGGAGGGGAGGGGAGGGTATGTCCCTGCTCCCCCTCCATACCCTTTCCTCCTCCTCTCCTGCTTCCCTCCCATTAATCAGGAAATTTCCGCTCAATTTCCCCCTAAATTAAGCGAAAATTTACCCGCTAAATAAAGCCGGGAAATATTCTTCCTAAATTCAGCGGGAAATTTACCGAAACTCTCCCGCTAAATTCAGCGGGGAAACTTAATTGGTGTTGAGGCCACGTGATGTCGATTTCCCCGTTAAATTTAGCAGAAAAATATCCGTTACATTTTTTCTGCTAAATTGAGCTAGACTTCAAGTGTGACGTCATTACGGGAAAGGTCTCATAATGCAACACGCGTTTACGCCAATGCCGACGCCGCTCAACCCGGAAACGGGCGTCTAAAAGCTGCACTTTAAAAAAGTTACCCAAGCTTGACTATCCTGTCAAAGCCTTAGAAGCACAAAATGTGTCAAGCTCTACCATACACATGATGTGCGTGCTGTGCATATGGGGATTGCTGGGCACAATGTTCATGGCTGCTCAGCCTCATCTTCTGCCTGCCTCTTGCTTCGTGCATTCTTCACTCCCATCCGCTAAGGAAGAGTAAGAACGCATACCTACTTAAGCCTTGCACGCTCCATTTATTCCTAATCTTACGTGACATGCGATACGTAACCTTACACTACTATTGGTTATCATTTTGTAATCATGCTGGCATACTTAGCACTTGCATGATTTAATTAGGCCTGAACTTAGGGGACACATGATCCCGTAATCTCCGTGATTAGGTA